TACGGCCCCGAACGATGTGAACAGGGTTCCCGAGATACCTAACGGGTATTCAGTACACCCAGCCACGTACCTACCGCATCACAGCCCACCCCTACGGTCAGCGCTGTCCACGGCCTCCAGTAGGCTACAAACACCAGAAACTACTTGCAACTCCTGGACAGAGAGCTAGGGTGAATAAGAAGTCGAGCGGGGTCATATTTCAGGGCCCAATGCATGGTAGTAGCTGTATCTTAAATCACACATACAGATCTTAGTGCTTAAGGTCGGCTTCAATGAAACAACCCACCATGTACTCCTACATGGCCTCTCATCGATACCTTTACCAAATCGGGTTCACCACACCACTCTCATTACCGACACAATCATTTCACTCTAGCCATCACCCAGATGAACCAGACCTGACACGACTCTAAGCATAGTAGGCATAGCAAGGTAGGAACAACACATACATATGGCTCAATCAACTCCTACACATGCTAGTGGGTTTCATCTAGTTACTGTGGCAAAGACAGGTCATGCAGAGGAAATGGGTTCAACTACCGTAGCACACAACAGTTTGAAACGCGTTGTCTTAATGCAGTAAAAGAGAGCAGGAGCGAGAACATGGGATTGTATCGATATGATCAAATGGTTGGTTGCTTGCCTGATGGTTCGATGCACTGATACGGTTCTTCGTTAGGGTAATCACGGTACTCCTCGGGGGCAGAACCTGCCGCAAAGAACACCGATACACAACCATCACCAAACAATGTGCAACAATATGATGCATGCATGAAACATAGCAATATGAGTGTGTTGGGCTAATGCAACTAAGACCAGAAGGGTTTGAACCAATTTGAATCAAAGATTCAAATTTCAAACTCAAACATGGCCTTTTAAAGTGCTTTTCCTTGTTCTGCATTAAACATCAGGTTAACTTGTTTAATCATGCATGAAAATAGTACAGATGGATAGATTGGATTTTTCTGATCATTTTTCATATATAATTTGTCTGATTTGGAGTTACAGAATAAAAGTTATGAATTTTTGAAGTTTAAACTATATTCTGGAATTTCCTATATTAGATTAATTCCAGAAAATCAACTATTGCGTCAGCCTGACGTCAGTGTGACATCAGCAGGTCAACGGAACACGTCCGGGTCAAACCTGACAGTGGGTCCCGCGTGTCAGTGTGATTAGATTAATTAAAGTTTAATTAAAACTAAACCTGTTTAATTAACAGGGCTGGGCCCCACCTGTCATTGACTCAGGGGAGTCAACCACGGCCCACCCGTGGTCAAACCCGGGTCGGCTGCACCGGCATTTAGCCGCCGGCGAGCCCGACGCGGCGGCGGAAGTGGTTTTGGCCGTTTCGGCCACCAAATGGGTCGCGGAGACCACCGGAGTGGAGCTGAGGACGAGCCGCAGCTCTTGGTGGAGTCCGTTGGGGTCGGGGTGGCCGGAGTTGGCGCCGACAACGACTTTGGCGGCCACCGGGGTTCGGCCGAAGACGAACTTGATGCTAGAGGGGTCGGTGAGGCTCGGGGAGTGGCTAGCTAGGTGCTAAGTGACACGGTGAGCATGATGGACACCGTGGAGTGGCCGGAGGATGACCGGGAGCACGTCGGCGACGAGCTCCACGGCGGTGGGTGCGGTTGAGCTCCGGGAGGTCGCTACACGGCTCGGGAGCAAGAACGGAAGGGAGGGGAAGATGGCTAAGCTCACAGTGAGTGCGACGAAGCCCTTGGTGTGGCCGGAGATGGACCGGAGCGACGACGGCGTTGAAGGGGATCTCCGGCGACGGCGGTTCGGGCAAGGTCGTTGCGGTGGACTCGGGCGTTGCGAGCGCTCGGGGCTCGGCTTGCTCGATGAAGTGGACAGTGGCGGAGCTCCTGGACACGATGAGAGGACGCACGGGCGGCGGGGAGCGCGGCTACGACGTAGGCACGGCGGCGGTAGCGTCGGCCATGGCTGGGGCGTGCGAGGGGGAGGAGCTGGAGAGGAGAGGGGGTGTCTGGGGGGTTCGGGGGAGCGAGAGAGGCTGATCCACGACGTCACCGGGCGAGGGGAGCGGCGAGGCGGCGAGCAGGTGCATGGCGTGCGCTGCGGTCGCCGTCGGGCACCTGCCTGCCTGCCTGGCCGGCAAGCAGCTCGCTGGAGCGGCGCTGGGCTGGGCCGGCAGGTGGGCCGGGTGCTGGGCGCCAGGTAAGTTTTTCCATTTCTTTCTGTTTTCTGTTTTTTTTAATACTTCTGCAACTTTGTTGAATTAAATAAAATACTTAGGCAACTCCTAAAATCACCAAACTACTCCTGGTCCATAGTTGGATTATTTCCAACATGAAACATTTTAGTTTGGAGATATTTGAGCATTTAAATATTTTATATAATTTTAAATGCCCAAATTCAAATATTTATGATTTAATTCAAAAACCCTAAGATGGCCTAGGAAAATGTGCATCACTTTTGGCAGAGGTTCTGAACCAAGACAAAAATGATGGGCATTTTAGAAGGGCATTTCAGGTTCATTGAAAAAGTTTTTAGTAAACCCTAGTTGGTTTCAGAGGGGACTGGGGGTTCTGTCATCCCCATTTCAGGTTTCTGGTGAAAGAATAAACATGATGCAACACTCTAATGCATGACTAGCTAGGGTGTGACACACCCACACCACGATGCGTGCAAATCTAACAACGGTCTTTAAGCATGTGCACTCCCTGTCCGGATCATCTCGCCAACGGCTTCAGCGGGGCACCTAGTGCAAGCATCCTTATAGCAGTCGTGCACTTCTGCTTAGCAGAAAACAAGAGTTGCTTGTAGCCCTGGTGAGGTTGTAGTAGGAATCATGTGCCTCCACTCCCTCCACCACACGTAATAACAAGGGGTTGCACATACGGAAGCGTCGACGAAGCCATGTATTAGGGAATGTTCGTATGGAATGGAACTAGTCCTTATAGAGGAGCCACGCTCTAGCGGCCCTATCCCTGTTCAAAACTCTTCGCCCTCAGATCAAACCTTTGAAGTTCAGAACATGCTCCACCTCCCTGTACATTTCCTCATGGATGCTCATGATCATCAACATCTCGACATCTTTGTCCGACTCATACGAATCAAAGAATTCCTTTTGCATTAACCATCAAGCCCCGTCCTTCCATACTCCTCATCTGACAAATCATCAGAGTCCATAGTTTTTCAAGAAAGGAATCACAAAAATTGGTAGGACATTTTGTCAAACACATAGAGGGCAAGGTGTAGTCCAAGAATAGTGGGATGTACCATGGCGGTGTCCGGAGCGGCGAGACAACCGAGAGGAGGTCGATGGCAGTGCCGAGGGGTCGGGACGACGTCGGAGCTAGGTTGGCGGCGCAGCTAGTCGAGGGACTGGGTGGACGAGGGAGAAGAGGCAAATGGCTCGCTCAACAAGGTCGGAGCGGGAGGAATTGACGCAATTTGTGATGGGTCCTTCATGTCGAATCTGACGTGACGAACACGCCGGACACGTCCAGACCTCCCCCGAGCCCGTCCGGGCCTCCCTATAGTGTCGGTCAACCTGAACGTTTAGGACCAGTTTGAGGAACCTGACTAGATATGGACACAATTTTATGCTATGTGTATCTTCATGTACAATTAACACACATCTTCCTCGGCACATGCATGGTTCAATATTTGTATACCTATGCAAACCCTAGTTCATTGCCATCTTTATGTGCAAATCATAGTGCCGCAAGTTCACAGAGATGATATAACAGTTTGTATTGGTATTCGACACGTGAATTCGATTTGATTTTGATCCTATTAATATTAATGAGTTTTATCCATTTTTTTGAAAGTTCGTTGGAATCCATGTTCATATCATTGACAAACAATTCGTATAAGAACAACACCCTCTTGCGAACTCGCATATAGGGTTTCCTGCTTCCCACTGCCGCCGGTCCGCCTCGTCTCCTATGGTCCTTGGACCATGGAGGCGTGGTGGATCCCGACCCTTAACGGCGAGAGAGCTTCATTTTAGGTGTTGTTCTGAGTTATTGCTAGGGTTTGTGTCATGCTCAAGAAGACGAGACGGCGAGGACTTCTTGCATATGGAATAAGGTTCCCTCCGCCTAGCCTCCATCCCGACGATGCTTCAAGCGTCGTCGGAGGGCGTGTGGAGGTGTGTATCTGACAGATCTCGTAGGATTCGGTCGGCGTTTCTCTTGGTGGATCCGGTCTCCGTTCATCTACATTTGCGTGTCTGCAGGTTGGATCCTTCCGATCTACGCTTCTCTCGGCGACAGTTGTTATTCTGGTGCGTTGGTCGTATGGGGTCTTAGCACGACGACTG